CTCTTCCCCAAGCCTGTAGCGCTGCATGGGGTTGTTGTGGCCAAAGTGCAGGACCCGGCACTTGGCCTTGTTGAATCTCATACAGTTGGCCTTGGCCCATCGATCCAGCCTGTCCAGGTCCCTCTGCAGAGCCTTCCTACCCTCGAGCAGATCAACACTCCCGCCCAACTTGGGGTCGTCTGCAAACTGACTGAGGGTGCACTCGATCCCCTCGTCCAGATCATTGATAAAGGTATTGAACAGAACTGGCCCCAACACTGAGCCCTGGGGAACACAAGCGATTCAGAAGAGCCTGAACAAGCGACAGAGGTTAGGCTGCCGGTGTTACCAGGCCAAAACCAGTTCATTTCCCTAGAACAGTAGGCAAGGATAACTCCGTCAAAGAGCATCTGTTACTGGTACTCACCAACCCGTCCCCGCAGCCCTCGTCTGCCACCTCCAGCAAGATGGAGGCTTAGGGAGGATCCTCCTCAAGGAAGGTGGGGTTGGGTCCACCCTCGCTCACCGGCTATCGCAGAGCAGGCACCCAGGGAAGCCGAAGCAGGCAGCGGGGAGGCCGCACAACGCTCCCGAATCACCTTTGCGAAAAGGAACGGAGGAAACGGCTGGATTTCAAGAGCGCGAAAGGACCGGAAAGGCACAGCCGCAGCAGGCAGAGGACGTGCTCTCTGTACCCGGCCTCGGCATCACTCGTCGGTCGCTGGAAACAATCGCAGAGACACCGTATAGAACCGGAGGAACAGTAAGCACACAACTCCGCCATCGTCCCCACCCCACTCCCCCCCCCTCCAAAAAAAAGCTTCCTCTTGCCCTTGAAAAAGCCTCCTGCAGCACTTCAAACCCAAAAAGCATGAGCAAGCAGCGGCAGCCTGACGCCCTGCACCCCCACGAACCTGCGTTCTGATGGACGTACTTAGAGAAGAGACCCAGAGCTTTCCAATGAGACAGGTATTTATTTAGTTCAAGCGCTAAGGATATTTTTGTCGTCGTCGTCGTCGTTGTTTTTTCATATTATCAAACAGAGCTGAGGTACCAGTGACATTCCAACATGAAGAAAAGGAACCTTTTTCCCCTTATACAATTTCTTCAACTACTTGTATCAAGACAAAAAGTGAGTAATGGAATAGCTGCATAATGTACTGTACAACAATCAAGCCAGAGTGGGGAGGAGAAAAGAAACAGAGCAGAAACCTTCACTGTTTACAAAATCATCATTAAAAAAAAGTCTGTTCCCGTGGTTCTACTGGCCATGTCGATGGAGCAAACCTAAAACCTGACAGACGGATGGCGCGAGGAATTATGGTGCAAAAAAAATTACGACTCTGTGTTGCTCCCGTGCTCACTTTGGAAGTGTCTTTTCTCTGGAAAACTGGGATTAGGACAGGATTGAGTCCTGTAGTCACGTTAAGCACTGACTGTCAGCAAGGACGTACGTTAAACATACCTGGCTGTCCCGAGCAGAGCTCAGGGCCCTCCTGGGGGATAAGTGCCAAAAAACTGACGACTCGTCCTTGTTCCTGCGGCCACTGGGCTGTGTTGAACACAGAGCTCGTGGACACGCTCCTTTCCAGCCCTTTTTTGAGAGCAAGTTACAGACGGGCCCATTGAACGAGCCTCCTCCCAGACGTCCAGCCGCTCTCCACAAGCGGCCGAGCCGCTCGTCCACCGCAACCCGTACGGGCGAAGCCAGCTCCTTGCAAATCCAGTGCTTAAAGCTTGTAACTACGGGAAACGTAGGGGTTTGGTTATATCAGAAGCAAAAAAGTTATGTGCTTGTGGAGAACGGCCAAATGACGACCAACGTCGGTTGCATGAAGAACCACAGGAAAAAAAATAACAACCCAACAAAACAAAACGAAAAAGCGGCAAGATGAACCGTTTTTGCACAGCTAGGATCAGTACAATACAGGAAAAGCAGCCAGGTTTCCTTCCCCCCAAGAGTTTCTTTTAAATAAAGAATGATCCTTTGTCACATATCATTGATGTTTATTTCAAGACATGCCACGTCAAAAAAAAACTCGCCTTTAATATTGCATTATAAAAGCACTTTACATCTCATTCTGCCTTTAAGTTATTGTTGTGCAGAGCTGCTATAAACCCAGGGCAGGGCAGGAGTCCAACATTCGTTTCAGGAATGAAGAATTCCAAATCTTTTATGCCCGTTTCCTGGTGAAAGTGGTGGTGAGGACGATTCCCTTTCTCTTCCCCGGATGGTTATTTTAGGTGGTAGAGGGGCAGAAGAGAACAAAGGAGGAGCCTGACTATTTGCTTGCAATTGTTCATTTACGTAGCAATCGCAACACAGACTCAAGAATTCCTTCCTGCACTGTAACTCAGCCATATCCGCCCAGCAAACAATGTATTTACAATTGTGTTTATTAACTTACACAGCAACTTCACAATGACTAGTAAAGATTAAAAGGGTGCACTTCTAGTGTGTTCGATTCCGTGTTTCTCGGGTAGCTACATCTCGCAACATCAGCAAAGCTCTAAACAGATTCCTCAGCAAAACGCAACAAAAAATAATTACTGAAAATGGTAAAAAATTAAGCAAAGAAATAAATATCAAAGAAAAATGGTTAATTGTAAGCCTAGTTAAATAGAAGACTAAATTACTAGTTATTTAACCAAACTATACAGCTCTAGTGAACCAAACTAAACCAACTTGGAAGACTGAACATAAAAAAAAAAGCTAAAAAATAAAGGCATAAATCTGCATAATCATAAATCGGTTTCCATCCTATTAAACTCCCTTCCATCCCATCTAAGCTCTCTCAACTAGATTTCTGCACGATCAAAGTAAACACCCCTTCCCCAGTCGACCTACGACCACGCCATGGAAAAGCGGGTGCAATTCCCCCTTCCGCCGCCCCCTCTCCCCCAGCCGTGAACTGGCCGGTGAACGCAGCACCTCCGCTGGGTAATCCAGCTGCTCTTTCCTCTCTCTGCCAAATTTGAAAGGTTTCAATCCGCTTCGGCAGGTTTGAGTGCCAGTCCTGAACTCACTTGGTGTTCCCCCTAGAGAAAGAAGCGACACGCTTTCTCCTCCGAACGGCTGAAACGTTACCTTCCCATCTCTCGGGCAGTAATAATTTACTTCATTGGTGTTCTACATAAAAGGGGGGAAAAAAAAAAATGCTCTTAAAACTCATCTTGCACTCGAAACGTATTTCCCTGCTTCCTGAAAGTGTTTTGCTAATGCACATCCACCCTTTCCTTCCCCCGCAAATCCTCCTGAAGCCATCCATCCCGTTCAGAAAGACACTCTGTGTTTCTCGGTACGCTTCCTTGGAAATGTGTTCACGTCGCCTCTGCAAGAACTAAAAAATCCAGTAGCCTTTCGTGGTGTCGAAACCCCCGCTAAGGTTGGTTCCCAAAAACGTCTGGGGGTTTGAAAACCAGGCAGACTACCTCTGCTCAAAAGATTAAGAGCTTGGTTTTAATTTTTTTTTTATTATTGTAAGGATAAGCATTTAACCCTCGGCATACGCCACCTCCGCTTGCATTTCTGACTGCTGTCTAGTCATTTCCAGTTTGTTAGAGAAATCAAATGGGTAAGATTTGCAAGCATTCTCCTGCACATACATCTCGTCTAAGTCCAATTCAAAACTTACTCAGTTTCCATCATTTCAAAGTGCAATATCATAACATATTAAAAAAGGAACAAATATTAAGAAATTGTACCTATTTTTTTTTTTAAAGTTATAACTAGAATATGCTGGAATATTTTGGCTTTTTTTTTTTCTTATAAATAATGAAGACACTGACATTTTCTTTGTGTGTGTGTGTGTGTGCTTGTGAAGCTAATAGATCATCTCCACGAGACAGCCAGCGATGATGAACTGCAATACGTTATTACTGAAAGGGGAAGGTAAAAGCCAATATTCACACTGCAGTCAATGAAGAGTAAAGGGAGGGAAAGCAGTGATGTTCTGGAGAAAGGTAGAAGCCACATGGTATTAGCAGGAACAGCCTCCTTCACTGACAGGCTGCTCTTGAGGCTTTTCCAGTTTTATGTCAATCACTGGAAGAAATAAGTTAAGGCAAACGGATGTCCAGCTCGGTCTCCCTGCCAAGCACAGGTAGGGCAGGACTGTGACTGGCATTTTCAGTTCAGCGCTTCCCACCAAAATACTTGAAAAGTATTTTCGAAAGCTCTTGAAAAGACCAGCTTCAAACCAAAGTCAAGATACAGGTTTCTTAGCAGCCCCTCTTGCCCTGGCGTCGGCACGTTCTTAAGTACGTAGCAGAAACAATGTCAGACCCCAAATGTCTGTCTCTAACCAGAGTCTGCTTCTCCCCAGTGACGCCCAGTGACCTCTTCTTATTCCAAAGCCACTGCTACAGTAATTAAAGATTACACGCTGAAGGGCCTAATCACCATTTTCAGAGGGAACCAGTAACGGCTCCGAAACCCCCAGTTTCAAATCAAGGCTAGATTCAGTCTTCCAGCACTGAGAGCAGCACCTCCAGCTGGTGGGCACCCAGGAGGGGGTCAACCTCCCGGCTCAAAGAGCAACTAAGCCCTGGAGATAGCAGGAGCCTGGAGGAACCCACGGAAGGACAGCTCGCTTCCTTCCCAAACTCCTGCTCCTCTACACTTCACAGGCAACTGGCAAGTACTTCCCTCTCACTGCCCTGTCCGCACTCAGCTTCGGGGCAGGCAGGAGAGCCTGTCTGGTTTTGAGTAAGGGGTGTGAATACAGACGGCAGCGTGCGCTCTGCTCAGAGAATCCCCCAGCGAGGCCATTCCTTCTCGCGCCGCGCACATCACTAACCTCCGAGTATTTACACCACCCACAGCTCGCAGACGCGATGCTCCGTACGTGCCATCCTGAACTCCCCGATCAATCTTTTCCTCTAGTTAAACCGCTCTGCTCGCCCCACCGCCAGCCAACAAAAGCCCTGCCGCCTGCCTGAACGCACCCCTTGCAATGACACCTAACATCCAGCAAGAACATAAGGTCACTGGAGAGCTTGCTGCTCTGACCCAGCCTGTGATAAGCTACTCCCTTTGCGGCACTCGAATTCCCAGCTGATGCCCTATTTCACAGGAGGAGCTTTGAACACTAATCCCCAAACCCAACTCAGAGCAGTTCAGCACAAGGCTCAAGCGTTCCTCTTATCAGTTAACACAGAGGCAGACAGGTCACACAGCTGGTACTTCCCACTTATTTCTTTAGGGGGTTGAACTTGCTTTTTACAGAGGTCAGGAGAAAACAAACACAAGAAGGAAAACAAAAGACCGGTAATTCATCTCAAATATTTGGTCCATTTGTTTCGCTGATCTCGATACACATTTTAGAGTCAGAGATGCTCGAAATGAGCCTTGCCAGCTTCATTCAGTTCAAGATCCTCGAACCCCCAACGTTCTGCAAAAAAGCCTATGGAAAATCCCCCACCATGAATCCTAGGGCAGCTGTCTGGGAGACAATCGTATTCAATTTCTGCTACCTGCAGTCTGCAGGAAGTCAAATTCAAAGTGCCCTTATTGCACTCCCATTTAGAGACCGGTGATCGAACTCCCCGATAGGGAAACCGCAGGCCCAGCAGCCAGTGCCTGTGCGTTTTACCACCGGCCTCTCATTAATAAAGACTGTTGCTCATTAACCTTTTGGTGACCTCCATAACAAAATATTTTGGGTCGGTCGAGTCCATATCACACAAAGCTTGTGCCTTAGCAGTTGCAATCCACAGTTTCCCAAATCTTCCTTTCCCCTATGCAGTAAGATGCTCTACAGGAGATGGTTTCAGCACCAAGCTTGTCCCCCTCCTAGAGTTCCTGCCGCGTCCTTCCTCCAAAGCGCCGTTTCTCCTCCATTTACCAGCTGCCAGCCACGTGATCCCTGCTGCACCTAAAACTGACAACCCTGAAAAAGTCCCTCTTCTGAAAAAAGCTCACCCACTTCCAGCATCTCATCGACTCTTTCAATCAAGATGCAGTGCAACCCCTCTTTGCTCCCACCTGGAAGCACCCACCGTGATTTCAGCCACTCTTTGTCCATTCACCTCCCGTCCAGCACTCTTGCTGCAGGAGGAGCTGCGTGCAGAGGCAGGCAGCCCTCTCTCCACCTCCTGCATTACCCTTCCTCTCTAATCCAAGCGAGCAGAAATGGGTAGTCAGGTGAGACCGTAAGAAGCGGCTCGGTTATCACAGAACTTCCTTCACCTTCAGAGCTACGCTAAGCAACCACAACCACTCCTACAGTTTTCTCACAAGCCACTCACAAAAGCACCTTCAGGGGCTTCACTGCCCTCCCCAAACACACCCAGCTGGCCAGGTAAGAAATTCAGATTTAGCCATGCTGTTTGTTATGCAGAAAGCTTTATCCCTTTTCCATTCCCTCACGCCACCTCCTTTCCCTTCCCCAAGGCTGATCCCTTCAGTTGAGTCTTCTCCTCCCTCGCACCACACAGATGTCTGCCCAGAGCTGTCTGGGGTCAAGCACTGCAACAGGGTTACAGGATCTCCATCCATGGAGATTTCTGAAGTTTCCCTGAACGTGACACTGAGAAACTGGCCTGGTTTTGGAGTTAGCCCTGCTTTGAGCAGGAGGGTTGCAGAAGGGACCTACAGAGGTCCCTTCCAACCTAGCTTATTCTAGGACCCTCCAAGTCAGATCTGCAAGAGCCACAGAGTTTTTGCAGGCCTCTTTGCAGCTGTTTTCTCCCACTCCATAGTCTCCCCCTCCCTCCCCACACCCAACCTGCTCAAACACCAAGCAAAGAACCCTTCTGGATCTGTTTGACTGCACCCTTCCGCACCTTCCCGTTGTCCTCCCTTCAGCTTTCACTCAGTTGTCCTCACTTTTATACTACCTCATAGCCCTAAGCATCCCTACTTCCCTTGCTTTACAGTAGAGGCCTCCACCCTTAACACCCTTAGTCCCAGCCTTCTATCCCACCAAGCCTTCTTCCTCAGCACTTCAAACTCGAAGGTTACTTGCCCCTATTCCCCCTCTCAGGCCTCTTTTTGGGATGCCCATAAGCTGACTGAGGGCTGCAGGAGAGATATTGCTCCCTCCTTCTTCATCCTTGTTATTCAGGGCCCGCATTTTCCTCGTCCACGGTAACGCCTGGCAGCGCTTTGCCACCGCTGAATCGCAGCACAGACGCATAAAGGATACTGTCTTCTCTACTTTTGTCTTGTGTGCTTTCCATTCCAGGCAAGGCAGCTGCCACGCGTCGGAAAAGCTGCAAAAAAACACACAGGGAACAGATCAAAACAATCGTACTTTAAAGAGTGCACACCCCAGTTGATACAGTTCAAACAATGATTCAATACATCCTTCAGTACTATTTACTCTGCTTACACCAAAAAGCCTGACACCAAATATAACCTTTATTCTTAGGAAATGGCAAACCACATTTTTGTTGTTATTGGAGATCAAATGTTACTGGCTACAAGCAGCAAACCTATCACCTTCTCTGCAAATATGCTCTGTTTGGAATCCAGCATTTCCACCTCCCATCTGCCATAGTCCATCGACCCCAACAACTTCCCCACATCAGGTGGGAACTCGACCTTCACGCCTCCACAGAATATTAGTTACACAGGAGCATGGACACACTGGTAAAGTCTAACACAACATCCAGAAGTCTGTCACCAATATCGGCCAAGTTGGCATGTACAGAAGATCATCAGAATGGGGCATGTACACAATGACATCCCCTAAGCATCTTCTTCCAGGCTCCACGTATCTGTGGCTCGGGCTCCCTACAAACCCAGACAAAGGATCTTTCTTTCAGGCATTTGCCCAATTCTTTTCTGAGCGCCCTCAACTTTTGGTACCCACTCCATCGTTATCGTATGCCCAGCCCAGACGCAGGGTATAACACACGGAACAGGAACATGCGTCAAGTGCACTTGCAATCCCAAAGCAGTTGTTCTACCTCTCACTTGGACACTGTCTCCAGTTTCCCAGCAAGGTCTTAGCTCCAAACTCTCTTCACAGTTTTATTCAGCTTGAAGGAGGCTGAGAGGTAAGACTGAATGGGACCAGCTCCCTCTCCCCCAAGGCTCAGACTTGCGGTTCCCACCACGTGGCATTTCCCCAACCCTCTGGGCGAGGAGCCTACAGACTTGCCCGCTATTAATGCATGAGAATTCACTTGAATTTCCTGAGCCTACAACAGTCTTCTCCTGCATAGGAACAGCACAGTTAAGGACTGTCCTTCAGCTGAGTGTGATTTCTCCGAGAAGGCGCCATGTTCAACTGGTAGGAAACACACAGTTTTCAACAGTAGCGTTCTCTTTTTTGTGCGCCTTGGCGAGTGTGTGCGCAGAAGGAGGGGAGGACAGGACAAATCCGATGGACGGATGAATAGCCTTTGCTGTTCATCAGGGTTATCAAATGATTACCTAATTGTTTCTTACCTTTGGAGAACAGCCCTAGTAGAGTTTTGGTCCCGTGGTGATGCGCTCAGCACACACCCAGATATAAAAGCATCTGACATATATTGAATTACTGTTTTTACATCATTACAGACATTCTTACTACCATGTACTTCTTGCCTGCACGTTACCAAGCACCCAGGACACTAGATGTTTCCAAGCGCTCAACACCGTCGTCCATCAGCATGTTAAAATCACCCCACCGCATGCCTGACAGCAGCTCGGGAGTCCCAAAATGCCTGGTGCAAGTCTGACGTCAGCCTTAATGTGTTAAATTGACATTAGTGCACATTCTCTCAGTCCTCTCCTCAAAGGACACAAAGCTAAACCACTTATTCCCAGTAACCCACTGTCCACAGAAAACTGAGCCAAGCCACTGTCAGTCTGTTTATATCATGAATGTAGGTACCTGAACAGCTTTGCAGATCACTGACCAAGTGCTTCTGCAAATTTGGCCCCGAGTGTCCAAATGATGCTGGGAAGACATTAAGGCAACTCTGTCGGCTTGACAAGTTAATCATGAACAAGCCTGCAGGTCTGTCAGGTGCAGCTGTGACCTTTGCAGGGCAGGAGCACAAACACACTGTGCTCGTTGGTGTCTGACCTTTGCTGTCACCACTATTTGTTACTGACTGAAGAGAATACTACGTGAGGAGAGGACAAAACTGAACAGGTAGAAGGCAGCAAAGCTGCTTTCCTTTGCAATTCCCATCATCTCCCTCATAACCATTCCAGAAACCATCTCCCAGCATCCTCACCCCTTTTTCACCAACAGCACCACCACTTTGTGGGCGTACACCGAGATCTGGACTGAGACAAGGATACGGGTCTGGAAAGTCGGTTCTCAATGTATCTCACTGATTTTAGCCAAAAATTTCAAAGCAAAAGCAGCTTAGTGTCCCCATCTAAGCTTCTATTAACCTCTGCCATTATCCTGAGCCTCCCAGCCTCACTGAAAAGTTCAGGCAAATTCTCATATGCCAACAACGAAGAAAAAAAGATCGTGTCAAAATTCCAGATGCTAAACTGTACT